GTTCCACATCAAACCTGGACCGGACAAGTAAAGGCTAGAAGCCATGACTGTTTGTTGCAACAAGTCTCTGCCATTGTGGAGACGAAGCAGCCACAGGCAATACATAGATGAATGGCCTGGCGGTGTCCCAGTAAAATTTCATTAACAAAACAGGTGTCAGACTGGATTTGGTCCATCAGCTGTAGTTTGCCCACCCCTGTTAAGCTGATGAAAACAAAACTTGCTGGTGAGGTTTAAGGACTGGGTTGGAGGATGGCTGCAGTGATTAAAACAACCATTGCTAATTTGTAGGGTACTCCGCGTCTGGCTGAAAGGGGTTTGCTTCAAATCTTTATTCTCGACTAATCTGTCTACCTCTAGGTGCCATCTTCCCACAGTTCTAACTAGTGGAATATGGTTCATCTTTACAGAGGAGGGAGACTGGCTTCTAATTCCTAAGCTATAGTCTGGCATGAGCTCACTCTCTCTTTCTACCAACGCCACTGTGCTCATAGCAGACCAGAGCTGAATAAAACAGAGATGTTACTTTATCCAGTCTGGAAAAGTGAAAAGTGTCCCATTCCTGCCTTCGGGCTGGCAGCTACTTCTCCCAGCACTCCTGTGACTTGGTGTAACGGTCAGGCAGGAAGAGCGAGTACACATGAGCGCTCTGACAATCAGCACCGGTAGCTACTGGAAACTTCTGCAGACCTTTTATCACTGCTCCACATTATGTGGAGTGAATGCGTTTCTTTATCCCAAGTCCTTCCTGCCTGCCCTGTTCTTGGTCTTCGTTCAAGTGTTAAGTCATGAGCCCCTAATAACAGGCACCCCTGCTGGTCCCTTGCTGCCGGAGAAGGTAGGCTGCTGGGCTGAGCGGCGACATGCTCATGCTGGAGTCAGGGCGGGGCGTCGCCAGGACTGGACATAAACGGAGAAACTGGTCTGAGTGGCAATAATGAACTTTCCTAGTCAATTGTACACGTTGTTCTGATATTTTGGGACCATGTATCCTGCAAAGTCAAAAATATTTACTATCTGGCTCTTTTACAGAAAAAGTCTGCTGGCCCCAGAAACACAGCTGTGTCACCAGGGAGCACGCATGCTGCTCCGACGACGCGCGCCTCAGAACCGCGGAATGCAGCGTGACAGGTCGTGTGGAGGAGATATAACTGGGCTCCCTGTAGAGGTAAGAGGCAGCCTGTCAAGCTAGCAACCAGGACAGCATGTGCACCCAAGCAGCCGAGGCTGTCTTGCAGGTAAATTACACAGTGTCAGCAGGGCGTCACACAGCTTTCTCAGGCACAGTGACGGAGGAGGACGGAATGAACGGTGGTGCCGTGATGGGCATTGCTAGACACTGTGATAGCTGTAAGGATGGCTGTCTTATAAACTGGATTATGAATACAAAAAATGTTGAGAGGACACCATTGTAAATGATCGTCTCCGCCTTCAACTCTAATCATCTGGACATTTGACTAATCCCAAATTATCCTCTGAATCCAGAGAGTTCAGTATACCCTCACAAAAATAAAGAAGCTAAATTAAACCTAAAGATGAAAAGGGTCTTTTATTCTCAAAGACATGGGACCTCCCCAAAGGGAAGCATTCCAAAGTGGTGACGATGCCACGCTTGGGATCATGAATGCCACCTCTCTTGGACCCACCTGCCATCAAATATCCGAGAATCTAAAAGAACAGGTCAGAAGGTCAGAAGGAGCTAAATAGCATATACTTTAGGACAAATTGAGACAAAGGCTATTAGGATGTTTTTGTAGATCAGCCAAGAACGTACGTGGGGAGACAGTAAAGGAATGTGGAGAGAGATTCAGGTCTGTCCTCCGTCCCCAAAACACCGACCGCAACGACAGTAGACTTGGAAGGAGACCGAGAGAGGAGAACAAAAGGGTGAGAGAAAGATCGAGTGGGAAAGGACGCGGGAGGCTGACGGAGCCCTTGCACAAATGTATGCTATCGGAAGAGCACCGGGAACAACCCACCCTTATTCTCTCCCGCCCTTCCTCCCCCTCCACCGCTCATTAAGAATCGAGTTTAGCGAGATAAGCCACTGGGAGAGAAACAAACTATGAAGTTACTGAACTTCCTTGTCTTTCCCTCGAATATTCCCCAGTGGAATCCCTGACAGACACCAGAAAACACGCCTATGGAAGTGGTATGTGGACAGGGCGTGGCAGTGACTGCGCAATTCAACTTCTCAAAACAAAGCAAGTCTGCACAGGCACAGACACGCAGGTGTGCTACAAACGAAAAAGGAGAGAGACAGGAGATGGAAACAGACAGAGGACAAAGGAAAGAAAGGAGGAGAGAAAAGACAGTCAAATGCATTAGTCATTCACTCCCCAGACTATTTTCTCCACCTTCAGTGAGCCGGAGGTCGAAGGGAAAGTGCTATGAAGACCAGCTCCTGGTCTGTATCCAAAGCCAAGTCACCCCTACAAAGAAGTGAAGAAAAGTCACAGGTGTAGCTGATATGTGAGCCCACTGACAAGGAAATGTGATTGACCATCGGCTCCAAGGCCCACCAGTCTCCCGGCTCCGGGAGCCGGCTGGATTCTCGAGTTCAGAGTGAGTCAATCTGGCTAATTTAGAGGTTATTTTAATCCTTAATTTATATTCCCGTCCCCTCTCCCAAGTCTTCCCATAGTGAACAGCGCTATGGCAACATGCGGCTGGTGGCAGGTATCATCAGTCATCCGAAGACAGAACTGTTGTCATAGCAACCCTGTCACTGCCAGTTATGAGTCTGACACCTGAGAGGGCATCCTCTGTAGACATGATTTTTAATTTTGATGGAAAATCCCGGTGAGCACGAAGTCTAACCTTCCCCCTCAGTTCCTGTTTCATGTCACTTCTCACTTCCCCGTCTCCGGTCCTTATAGCCATGTCCCTGCCATCTTCCTTCCTGTCATATTTATAGGAACTTGATTTAAAAATACTTGCTTGGTTTCTAGAGCCACCCTATATAACTGTCTCAGAAAGATGAGTCATGGGATGAGTGAAAAGTTCCCGTTTTCCCAGCCTGCACAGTTCACCCCCCAGCGCTCTCCTCTCCCCTGGACCTCCGGCACCACCCGCTGCGCCTCGGCAGAGCTGCTGTAGAGTGTGGTGAAGATTCCACACCTCACGGACAAGGAAAGACTATTGTATGATGCAGGCGAGCCCCGGAGGGAGGCCTGGGCACCACCTGTAGACGAAGGTAGCCTAACCTAATGAGATTCAAGAACAGTTCATCGGTGAGATCACAGAGTGCAGTCATTAGGAACATTAGGGTGCTCTGGGAAGAGAAACAAAAAGCCCTGTCCTGGTTTCTGTCATTAAGCTATAATTTCTTTGCAAAATATCTTTCTCCAGTGGTTCCTAGACAACTGGGGCTTCTGGTGCCAGACAGATGGAATGAGCCCAGTTTAGTCTATTTCGCCTTCTGATTACAAGTAGAAACTTTGATCAAAAAACAAGAAACAACTACCTCTGGGCAAAATGCCACAGCAGGAAGACCGGTGAGGAAAGTCAAAATTTGATGAACAAGCAGAAAGGCAATGAAATCGTTGGGGCCTGAAGAGAGTAGGGCATTGATAATAAATTGTTGAAAGAAAAGAACTATCACTGAGCATTCTTTATGCAACAAAAATATCCTTCAGGAATGAATGCAAAATAAAGTCACTCTCAGATAAGGGAAAATAAAGAGATCACAATCCTTAGTATTTACCCAAATGAAATGAAAACCTACATTTGCACAAAAATGTATGCATGAATGCTTAGAGCAGTGATATTTGTTAATTGCCCCAAACTGGAAACAAACCAAATGTTCCTCAGCTGAAAAATGGATAAATCAAGATGGTACGTCCATACAGTGAAATGCTACTCAGCAATAAAAGGAAACAGATTGTCGATGTATGTAACAACCTGGCTGAATCCCAAATGCACTATGCTAAATGAAAGAAGCCAGATTCCAAAGGGTAGATTCTATTGTCAGGGGTTACAGTTTGGGGAAGGGCTTGACTACAAAAGAAGGTAATTGTTTTGTAACTGCTGTGTATGTTGAATGTGGCGGTATTACAGTTCTCTATGCATTTGTTACAACTCATACAACCGTAACCCAAGGAGTGAATTTTATATATTAAAAACAAATTGCCCTGCCGGGTTTGATTCAGCAGTTAGAGTGTTGACAGACAGACCAAAGAGTCGCGGGTTCGATTCTGGTCAAGGGTACGTACTTTGGTTGTGTTGGTCCCAGCCCTGGTCAGGGTCATGCAGGAGGCAGCCAGTCGATGTCTCTCTCTCTCTCTCTCTCTCTCTCTCTCTCTCTCTCTCCGTCTCTCTTTCTCTCTCTTTCCCTCCCTCCCATGATATCTGAAGATAAATGGAAAGATATCCTGGGTGAGGATTTAGAAAACAACAAACAAAACAACAACAAACAAATTAAAAAACAGAGAACTTGAAATCTTGATACATTTTTCTAAGAAAACTTTTTGACAATTCAGTCATCTAACTTCATGTAGTTATATAGTCATAAGCAGAAAATTGTATTCCCAACATTATGGCAAATGGTCAAGCTTTCATTGAAACCTTTGTTACAAAATGTTATTTGAAAATAAATTCGACTTGGTTTTCATACATTATGGGGAAAGTCCAGAAACCTGCCGAATAGAATAGTACCACCCAGGTCATCAATGTGTGAGTTTGATATAAATTTTAAAATTCTTGTCAGTTACATAAACCTTCCCAATTCTATATTACAAAACATGACTATATGCTCACTTTATTTATTTCTGACCTGGTGTTTAAAATAAATAGACACTATCATAACTTACAAAATACACACGCACCCATGTACTATTATTACTCTTAAGGGGAACAAACAAAATCATGCAATTACACCTTGGGCTCAGCCGTGCTTCTTCTAACACTGTCCTAATACATTTTTCTTGCCTGCCCCATTGATCTGTGCTCTGTGGGTAGCATAGAAACATCTGCATGTTAGAGATCACATTTTCACATACCCTGTCAAAGAGCGTAAAAAGTTGTCTCAGCACATCAGAAACAGGCAACTTCAAATACTCTGCAAATTCTTCAATTCCAATTCTTCCTCCTTTCGAGGAACTCGCAATAGCTGCATATTCATCCAAATGCTTGCGGATACCATCCCAATCCAATCTAAGCGAAGAATGAGAAATACATGGAATCAGCCCTTTCCAGCCACACAACATTTTTTTTTCTTTATTGATGTTAGAGAGAGAGGAAGGAAGATGGAAAGAGAGATAGAAACATCAATGAGAGAGAACATCGACTGGCCGCCTCCTGCATGCCCCCACTGGGGATTGGGCCCACAACCTGGGCATGTGCCCTGAGCAGGAATCGAACCAGCAACCTCTTGGTACATGGGCTGATGCTCAACCACCGAGCGACATGGGCCAGGCAACTGCATGACATTCTAATGATCATTTTTATTCACTTGTCTAAGGGAAACATTGTAAATGTTAAATTTGAAAAGGAGAATAAAATGTGTATTTTGAAGTACAAACTCCCAGGTTTCTAATTTTTTTTAAAGAATAGTAGTATAATTAATTTTCCCAAATATCTGAGGAAGAGAAAACTAACTGAAAAGAGCAATGTGACAGAATAATAATTGACTCATGAGAAGAAAATAAGAAATCACATTTAAATCAAGCATTACTTAATAAGTCAATGGCACTTAATGAGTGGTTAAAAAATACAATTTTTGCTTTCAAGCTGATAAATTCATATTTCACAAAATGTTGAGATGGGGAGATTCATTAGACTATACACATGTCCTCCAATACTAATTATGAAAAATAAGGGTGATAAACACTGGAAAATATACTGTAGCTTACATCACGTTCTTTTTTTAAATTAAATGTATTGGGGTGGCATTGATGAATAAGATTATGTAAATTTCAAGTGTACACTTCTTCTGTAGTACATCATATATATATTGCGTTGTGTGTGCACCACCCAAAGTTCAGTCTCTTTCCGTTACCATATGTTTGATCCATCACATCCTTTCTTTATCTTACAAACAGGTGACTTAACACATACCTCTTCTGTATCCAATTTCAACTTTTTGAATTGTGAACATAACATCAAAACATTTTGTTATCTAAAAAATATAGATAGCCCTGGCCAGTTTGGCTCAGCGGTTAGAGCATCGGCCTGCAGTCCAGAGAGACCAGGGTTTGGTTCCCGCTAAGGGCATGTACCTCGGTTGCAGTTTGTCTCCGGTCCTGGTTGAGTCATGTGGGTGGCAGCCACTCGATGTGTCCCTTTCATGTCGATGTTTCTCTCTCTCTCTCCTCCTCCCGCTCTATTTGAACCAAAAATGGAAAAATGTCCTCGGGTGAGGATTAAAAAAAATAGATAGATAGATAGATAGATAGATGATAGTATTTTCTCTATTGGTTATCAAAATATAATTTTTTAAATTATTGGACTTAAAAACAGTAACTGGTTCTACAATTCCCTCCTAGGGAGAATGCCAAGGTCTATGAAATCAATAGATCCTACAAATCCCTAATAGAGATGAAACCAGAATGAACTGTAATAACAGAGGACTTGGGGGTTATACCTTTCATACCAGATAATTCTAAAGGAATGTTCTAAATGGTTTAAATTAGATCAGAATAATACAAAGGGCTGTTTTTGCCTTTTTGTAAAAAATGACATACCCAGAAGAAAAAGGTAGACTTTGGGTAAGTATTTAAAATTTAATGATGGCCTTGGTTGGTTTTGCTCAGTGATTAGAGCATCAGCCTGCGGACCAATGAGTCGAGGGTTTGATTCCAGTCAAGGGCATGTACCTCGGTTGCGGTTCGTTCCTGGCCCTGGTCAGGTCATGCAGGAGGCAACCAATCGATGTGTCTCTATCACATTGATGTTTCTCTCTGTCTCTTTCTCTCCCTTCCTCTCACGCTATCTGATAATAAGTAGAAAAATATCCTTGGGTGAGGAATAAAAATATAAAATGAAATGAAATAAAATTTAGTGATGGTCAGAATTGCTACTCTACAAGACAATTCCTATTTTGAAAGAGACATTCTGACCACGACAGGCCAGTATCATCTAACTATGCTATCCTCTCGGTACAAAGGTATCAGATGGACACCACTCAGCCAGTTCCAAGCAAGGAGCTGTCCTCATCCACACTTAGTATCTCCTGTGACCAACACACATAATTTTAAATTAACTGTTCGTGAAAAACAAAACTGAGTGAACTAAAAGGGAAATAAATTCACAAGTCTGGCTTCCTTAGTAAACACCAGAGCTGAGCCCTGGCTGGTGTGGCTCAGTTGGCTGGGTGTCATCCCATGCACTAAAAGGTCACAGGTTTGATTCCCAGTCAGGGCACATGCCCAGGATTCGGGCTCCATCCCCGGTGTGGACATGCAGGAGGCAGCCAATTGATGTTCTCTCTCACATTGATGTTTCTTTCTCTTTCTCCCTCTCCCTTCCTCTCTCTCTAAAATCAGTAAAAACATATTTAAAAACCAAAACAAAAAACAAAAAAACACAATCATAAAACCCACACCAGAGCTAATAAAATCAGAGAAAATAAACATACAGGAATTCAGATCTCTTTTGGACACTTTCATGAAAGTGTAGTACTTTTAAAATACACTTACTTCAATTTCCGGCTGATTTTGGTAAATTCCACCAGCCCGGCTTCCATGGGCAGTGTGAGCTGTCCCGCTGAGATCATCAGTCTGCAGTCTTCATAGGTGTGATCCGTCACTGGGATATCCAGCGCTCTGAAAGCATTCAATAGCAGAGTGACATGCAATTTTTAAAAACAGGTGATGATTTTTCATTAGGCCTGGATTGGTCAGCAAGCAGCAGTAGATGGAAAAGTATTCCCTACTTTTTAAACCAGTAGCTTTGGCTTTTTAGTGCCAAAGAGACATATTTCTCTACTTGTCAGACTTCCTGTGGCGGAGTAGGCACTCATGTCGGCATGCTCTGCCAGCAGCCCATGTTTGCTTTGTGTTTTAACTACAGTGACAATGTTGCAGTTAGCTTCTGTCTCATGGAAAGTATGAGAAGTCTCCGGTTCAGGTCACACTGGAGTTAGTGTGTGGACCTTTTGGCACTGAACCTAAGCCTCACTTTTCTCATCTGTACGTAGGAATTACCCTACTTGCTCCACAGGGTTACTGTAAGGAGGACCCATCTGTACATATTATAAGTGAACAATCTGTCCAAACTGCTAGCTAGCTGCATTTGTTCACCTTTTAAAACTGAAGGTCACCCTCTTGCCACATAGCATCCTTCTAAAACTACTGAAGGGACCTGATAATAAGCTCAGATTTCTTCCAAACCTGAACATCCTTCATCCTCATAGCCTGTACCACCTCCCCCTGCTAGACTGTGCAGTAGATAAAATAATTTTCTGAAGATCATTCTTCACTAAATTTTTACTCACAAATATTCAGTAAAAATCATAAAATTATGCCTGTAACTGTATTTGATTTAATTGAATCAATGCTACAAACAGTACATTTCAATGACTGCAATAAGAATTAAACATTTTTTCTATCTACAGCTAGGCTGTCTTTGATTATAAATATACAAGAAAGAAAAACTAAAAACATTTCAGGAATCATAATAATCATCCATGGAGCAGAACGGTTAAGAGCTTGGGCTTAGGTAACAGGAAATGTGAGTCCGAGTCGCAGCCCAGACCCTCGCTGCCGGCTCCGATCTTGAGCAGACTGCTCACCCTTCTGACAGAGCACTTGGTAAACACTTAGTAGGAATTGTACCAACACTACCTCCCGTGGCCTTTGCCATTTTCAAATGTCTTTATCTTAGAGTTTCCTACTCAAGTCTCAATAACCAAAACCATGAGAAAGACAAGGCAAGGATCACAGCCCTCACCTTACACGTGAGCAAAGGCATCTTGAGAGGAGCCTGTCCGAGGTTGGGCAGCTGAGGGAGGTCTTTTCATCTCTATCACAGGCCTGCCCACCTCCATGCCTCCAAGTTCCGAAAACGGCTGCCTACACCAATCCCTCCTCTGCTATTAGGCACGTTTTGGGAACTCAAAATATCTGATATAAATTCTTTTAGTTCCTAATACTATCTCCATTCCTAATTTTTAGACATAAGCTGCTATAAAAACATAAGAAAGAAAACAATATAAAAGCAAACTATAGCCCTGGCAGGTATGGCTCAGCGGTTGAGCATCATCAGTTTGGTTCCCGGTCAGGGCACATGCCCAGGTTGTGGGCCCAATCTCCAGAGGGGCATGCAGGAGGCGGCCAGTCGATGTTCTCTCTCATCGATGTTTCTATCTCTCTCTCCCTCTCCCTTCCTCTCTCTCTCTAAAAAAATTAATAAAGAAAAATAATAATAATTTAATAGCAAACTATAGCCCTGGCCGGTTTTGCTCAGTGGTTAGAGTGTCGGCCCGTGAACCAGAGTCGCAGGTTTGATTCTGGTCAAGGGCACATGTCTCAGTTTCGGTTCACCCCCAGCCCTGGTAGGGGTCGGTCGTGTGGGAGACAACCAGTCAATGCGTCTCTCTCACATTGATGTCTCTCTCTCTCTCTCCCTCCCTCCCACTCTATCTGAAGATAAATAGAAACATATCCTTGGGTGAGGATTTTTTAAAAAAGCAAACTATAGGTGGTCTAGAAACTAAATAAAACAGGCACACCTGGGTACACACAGCAACTTTTTTTTTTTTTTGCTAAACATTTATTCTTTTTTGAAAATCAAGTTATTCTGCTGTGGAATATTAATAGCAATATATATGTAAATATCTATTCTTATATATGCATATAAATTAATATGTGTGCATGTATATATTAATATATATGTGTATGTTTGCTATAATGCTGAATTCCACTATGAAGCTAAATTCAGAGTTCCCATTGAGTTTTTACCAAGAGAATAATACTGCTGGCCTATTCACTCCAAACCTCCTAAGCATGGGGCTGGGGAGAGAGGGCACACTCCTAGAGGGCTGAGGCTGCCGGGGCGGTGGGGGCATCACTCACATTCTCTCTCTGCAGGCTCAGAGGTGATTCAGCTCATCAGACTAGTGACCAGTTAAAACTCCCTTGAGTGTGGGAAAATATCTGCCTTATGCTTTGCAATTTCTAAGTCCTAAATTTATAGTTACCCCTTAATGGGGTGACTTTTCTCTTTTCTATGTATCTATTCTATTTCCTTGCAAACTTTCTCCTTTCTAATGCCTTTGCCTCATGGAGGCTGAGGGGCAGAAGGCGGGCCCGGCAGCAGCAGGGACCTCTCAGACCATCACAGAGCTCGTCTGATAGCCATGGCCAGCCTGGGACAATCCACCCTTGGAAGCTGCTCTCTTCTGGTTATTGAACCCTCCTAGTCCGCCTTCCGGCAGACGCATTTCTATTAGTCTGGGGCCATAGCTGGGAAAGTATTTACAAATTGCCCGACTGACCACGTTCTCGGGCGCAGTATTTTACTCACCAAAATAAATTGGGCAATGAGGGCATGAGGGAAAAAACACCCAAATCCTTAAAACTATGTTAAATGTCATTTACCAATAATGCTCAGACTCTCTAGTGATTATAATCACATATAGACACTTACTCAGCCATCAAAGTCCGGACTCTACCAGCAAAAAGGACAGGATCTCTTTTTTCTTCATCATTCGGGGCTTGAACAGGCATGAACTGAAAGATAAATACACCTTTTTATAACAATTGGCGGAACTCAGACATAAACGCTCAAGACATTGATTTATAAGTTACCTATCATTCTACAAATCCCGCCTGTCGAGCGCATCAGTAACCCGATGTACTGGAAGGAAGCCAGAGCTTGGACTCGGGAGAACTGTCTCCAAGCCCAGGCCTTCCTGTGCGTTGACCGGCATGTCCTTTAACTTTCCGGACTGTCTCCGCGACTCCGAAGGAGCTCCAGGCCCCTACTCCCTGCCGTGGTGAGGAGGAAGTGAGCCGTGTTTGGCGTCTGGAAGTTGGAAAGCTGTCACTACGAAGATCGTGTCCTCGGAGCTGCGTTTGCTGCCACTCCCTCCGTCTGTGGGAAATGCGGGCCGCTGGTTCTGGCTTTCACAGGTCATCTTCTCCACCTGTTCCTCTGGCAGCCATAGTGTCATCTGACGGAACTTCCTGTGTTGTCATTTCATCTGCTCTTTTTAACCCTTAGTACTTACTTTCTAGCTTTTCCTTAACACCATGTTTTGCTTTATTACCATTTAAATTTTACTTTTTTCCTCTAGTTGGCATTCTCTGATACCTCATTTGTACTGTCCTTGATTTTATTAATAGTTTTCTAATGTTAAGGTTTTGGTGCCATATTTAAGTCATGACATATTTTTTGAGCACCTACTATATACTAGGCAAGATCAAAAGGCCCTATTCTTGTTCTAAAGAAGACAGATGTTTTGATAGGACAGACCAACATAGCATATTTACCCCCGATTTACCCCAATTACAGACAGGGCTGAAAAGCATCATTAACTTATTTAAAGTCAAACAGGATTCAGCCCAAGGTCTGTTTTCCCATGAGACCATCTTTCCTGGGGCATGAGGGTGAGAGGCAGGACGTGGTCAGTTTGCCCAAGTGGGCAGACAGAAGCAGCCAAGCAGGCTTTACACAGAGCTAATGGTTGTCCTTGGCTCTTTAAGGACAGGTAGGATTCTACCAACAGCTGCTACCTATTGAATTACACCCATGAACCAGGTGCCAGGCTACTTTATATGCATTAATTCATTTAACTGACCCTCCCAATTTTAGTCATAAGAAATCGGGATTCACAAAGATCACATGCCCGGCTCGAGCTTCCATGGCTCACTTCCATTCAGTAAAGGTTGCTTGGGCACCTACCATGTGCCAGGGCCTGCACTGAGCCCCGAAGACACGCCAGTGAAGTCCCTGCCCTCCAGGAACTCTTTGTGTCTGGGGTAGACATTTGTGACAATGAGCTAAGTCTACCCATTAAGCACCTACTGTGTGCTGAGTACTTTATATTAGGGGCTTTATACGATTAACTCTAAACAATTCCCTGAGGCTCATTCTTCCATTTCCATTGGGTGGAAGACTGTGGCTAGCAGGGGTAAACAATATAGCTAAAGCCACACACCCAAGTGGCAGGACCATAGTGTGAAGAAAAAAAAAAAGATTTCTATAAAGAACATCTCTTTGGACTCATGTGGACCTGTTTTCAAATCATCTTAGTCATGTTAAGAAGCCTGTGGACAATGGTGACTCAGAAATGAAGACTGAGTGAGGGAGTGACAGGACCAAGTGTCGGGGCAGTACCTTTGGTGGCAGGGAGTGGGTAAGCCGAAGAGGAAGAGGCTGAGAGCAGAGACCCCAGGCAATCAACCTTCGAGAAACGGCGAGGCCATGAACAGAGGGAGCGAGCCTGCAGACGGCAGCTTGGGTGCAAGTGGAGTTTCTAAGACAAAATGGAACTACAGGGTAATCCCCTGTATGTCATTTCACTGTTCCCACGGGGACAGCGGCTGCTGCGGCAATGCCCCTGCTGCCCGGCTCCGCTGGGCGACGCTGGGACGGCATTTAGCCTGTGTCTCCGCGCCCTGGCCTGTGGAGGGAACACTTCGCAGACGACCTCCAAGATCCCTTCCATGGGAACTCCCTGTCCAGCTTCCTGTTTAGAACCCAGTTCTTTAAGATGGACAAAATAAGCTATGCCACCAGAGGTCCCCACATCACTTACATATCCAGAGCACCACACTGCAAATAAGGATTTCTAAAAATTCCCCCAGTCTGCTCTAATAAAATCTCTAATATTTGCTTAGTGTGAAATTCAAGGAAGAAAACAGTATATTAAAAACCAATGTTCATAAAACCTCTAACAAAATAGTACAGTAAATTAAAGTTTTTAATTGCCCTGTAATTCTGTTTTTAGAAAAAAGCCAAATAATCATTTATGTAGAATATGTTTGATTTGTAGTACCTACTGAAACCCCGGAAAATACATCGCAGCTCTGCTGTTAACAATGTAACAGAATGGACTATGACTTTGGTTCTTTAAGTGCAGATAATATTTTCCATAAAATGGTTTTTAGTAACTCTCATATTTGCATGACATTCTATTCTTCAGGGGAAAAAATATCCACTGAGGGTCAAAAAAAACAAACAAAAAACAATTTAAAGTCTGAATGTGACGCTCACGGGGCCCGAGCCTTCTGAGAAGCAAGTCCATGGAAATGCTAATAGTCATCTCTCCTGGGATACGACCTTACCCTCTAGATCATGTTTCCATTTTATACGAAGCCTCACAGCTTGAACATATGCCTTACTGGGGGAGAAGGAGGCACCAAAAACGCTAGTGTCTATCACTGTCCCCTAAAACACATCTAAATACCCCAGTGACCTCAGGACCCCAAGTTTTCCTTTCCACCTTCACGTTCTCTCATGATCCCCGTGGCCACACTGACGGCCCATCTCACATCCTGATTACACAGCCTCTTCACCTAGCCACAGATATCCTTAATTCTGCTTCAGCCACGGAAACCAGCGTATGACTCCCATCTCCTCCTCTGACTGGCTCTTCAGCCGGAGTTTCCCCTGGTCACCTAGCAGTGTTTACTTCTCCCCTCGCCTGGTCCTCCTAGACGACCAGACCTCACGGCCCCTCTCAGGACCTACTCATCCCTCATCACCTGCCCCTCCGGCCGCATCTGTCTGCCGAATGACCCGGGCCTTAGGGAGTCAGACACTGTGCGTGGCCTGTCACCTAGAACCCCTCACTTCTGCCACGCCCGGGGTGCCGATCACAAAGCCCCGGTCGCCTCTCCTGATCCTGCCGTCTCACTGCGGTGGAGAACACTAAGGGACACTAAAGAAAAGCTGTGTGGGCTGAGGCTACTACCAACCCCTGCTAACTGGGTCTTCATAGCTGCTTGAAAACGATGTTACTTTCCCCAGGTGGCCTGCTGCCTCAAGATATAAAAATAGTTTTTTGTTTTCTTTTTTGCTGAAGATCTTCCTTTATCTTTGCAGGTGTGCACAAAGACGCTGTCTTAGAGCTGAGTCTACTTCCCTAGTGTCTGCATGATGGGCAAGGGCCAAGTTCATCAACCGGGGTTGCACCGGGCTGCCCTTTCTGACCTCCGGCCATCACAGTCCACTGTTTCAACAGGGGCCATGCTTCTCGGGAGGCAACTCCACTTTCCATCTCGATGGCATTTCATTTGCAACTTCAGAGAGACGACAGTGAGGGGTCAGGATATGCCACCCCAAAACATGCTGGTTGGGTATGTTGACTATTTGGAGCTGAAGTTACTTAAAAGGCAGCAAATACAGGGAGAGGCTTTCTTTGCACCCATCTGTCTGAAGACAGATCTCCAAAGAGAAGTAAACTCTCATCAATCCCCTCCTGCAAAGATCCATCCAACAGGGGGACGCACTCCTATCAGAGGGGCGGGAACTAGAGGTCGACATCACACCCAGACCGACTTGATTACACACTCAGATCTCTCATCTATGCTTCTAAGGGCCCAGGTGTCTTTCCTGAAAGTCATTTACTCTCCCCCAAGGGGCCTACACCCTTCCTCCCCTTTGACTATTGAGATGGTATATGACCCCTCAGAAATCTCACCACTTTTTTTAGATATTCAGTTTCTATTCCCTGGGATGGCCTTGTGCACGTATTAAAAATGAATACATGTGTATACCTTTTCCCGTTCCTCTGGCTTTGCCAGTTTATTTCATAGACCCACTTATCGGACCCAGGTGGAGAGAGGGGAGTCGTTCCCGCCCCACAACAGCCCCTGGGAACTTGAATTCCCTTCCCGTTCACCGGGACTGACTCCACAGCCCCATTCCCTCCCACTTCACTGTCCTGTCCCCTCGCCTGCCGACTGCACCGTCCTGTCCCCACCGTCCTGTCCTCGGTAAGGAGGCTGTTTCCCACACCAACACCTCTTGTTTGTGCCATTGGCCCCACAGCCGCCCACCTCCTCCCGGGCCTTAGACTGCCCCGAGATTTATCCAGGTCCTCAGCCTGCTCTCCAAGACCACCTGTCCTCTGGAGCCAGTGCTCCATGTGTGCATAGTTCCGGCAGGGCCGGCCACGTGTGCGCAGTCCCGGCAGGACCGGCCACGTGTGCGCAGTCCCGGCAGGACCGGCCATGTGTGCTCAGTCCTGGCAGGGCCGGCCATGTGTGCTCAGTCCCAGCAGGCACGTGTGCTCAGTCCCGGCAGGGCCGGCCATGTGTGCGCAGTCCCAGCAGGCACGTGTGCTCAGTCCCGGCAGGGCCGGCCATGTGTGCTCAGTCCCAGCAGGCACGTGTGCTCAGTCCCGGCAGGGCCGGCCATGTGTGCGCAGTCCCAGCAGGCACGTGTGCACAGTCCCGGCAGGGCCGGCCATGTGTGCACAGTCCCTGCAGGGCCGGCCACGTGTGCTCAGTCCCGGCAGGGCTGGCTGGTTCATCGTTTCCTGACCACATCAAGCTCATCCCTTTCTCCTAAATCGATGATTACGAGAAGGAATTGACGAGTGATGATATTACACAATTTTATCTTTTTCCAAATAACAGAAAATAATTTTAACTGGTCAGTCTTTAACAAATTGCAATGTGAATTCTTCCGTGAGTCTTTTTTTTTTTTAAGTTTTCAAAAAGAAAAAATGCAAAACAAGGAAGGTACTTGTGAACAACATCTGCTGTTTCGCTTTTGAAAGAACAGAATAATCTACATGAGAAGGGAAATAAAAGTTAATGCTTACTGAACCCCAGCCATGTGCCAGTAGGTGAGTAAACTTATTAAATGCTAATGACCCTATAATATCCGTGTTCTATCCCTTTCCCAGTGAGTACCGGCCCAGAGAGGTCCAAGGAATTCACTCAAGCACATTCTGGTAGCTTGTAGCAACATTGAAATAAAACCCCAGCGAATACTCCTTTTACACCACTCCATTTCTCTACTACTGCTGCTTACCATCTCCAGCATTTTACTGCGTACCAGAAGAAATGAGCTTTGTTAGAACAAGTACGTGTGTGTGTGTGTGTGTGTGTGTGTGTGTGTAAGGCCCATTTTAAATCCCAAACTATGAATCATGTGAGTGTATTTGGATATTTAAGTAAACTACAAACCTGCAGTTGAACCTTCTCTAAGTAATTAGCTCTTTGGAGATTTAAAAAGTGACATGAATCTATAGGTGTTGATCCTAAGACTCATTATGAATTACAATCCTTTCTTAAATCAGACAACTTTTTTAATGAAAAAAAAAGATCCTTTCTCTGACTTAAGGCAAAGGCTTGCCCATCATAAGGAGTGGAGGTCTAACACAAACCCCTGGAAGCTCTCCACATGCTCGGCAAAAGGATTTTCCCAAAGCGAGATACGTCTGTGTGCCTCCAGACAACACACCGTGACGCATTTATAATACGACGGTGGTTCTGACTGCAAACTGAGACATGGTCTGTGGAGAAGAGAATCCGGCTGCTGCCTGCACACGCCCGAGCCTGGCTGTGCACGCATCCTCTCTGACGAGATAAACCAGCAGGCTCTTAATTGATGTCATATTGTGGGAGGTTTCCTACCAGCTATCTTATTGCCTAGGCCCCTGAGCCATATGCTTATTAAAGCATCCTGGTGAAGTAGCTGGCCCCCAAGGGTTATCACCAACAGCCTGTAAACACACCCAGCAGGCCACATTCTCATTCAAAGACTAACTTTCGGTAGGACATTTGGTGGACCGTGTGGCATCACTGCAGAAAGATGCCAAAGTGATCACATAGGGCACAAGGTTTGCAACTTGCTGTATTTTTAAGATCCAAGAATCAAGAAAATAGTCACCCTTTCAAAAACAGGTGTCTGTGTTGGGGAAGCAGAGGAGGAGAAAGGGAGGTAGGAAAGAGTTCTTAATATTACATTCTCTAGATTTTAGCTATGCAGGGATTTTTGTAACAAAGAGTCTGATTATCTTTAATGACAGGAGGCTTGTGGAACTATCAGGATTCAGCATCCAGAGCAGACCTGGGACCCGCAAGAGCAAAGTGTCCGAAAGGGCACGCTAATGATCCACTCAAGTGCATGTGACAGGCCATGAACCTAATGCCATATTCTTGAATGATACTTCTTGAATTAGGTGTACCTGATTAATAGTCAAGACGAAGTTCTAAAATCGTATCTTAAAATTAATACATAAGATTTCCATCAATTTTAGAGACGAAGCAAAGAGGAGGGAGCCGCTGAACAACCAACACAACGGAAGCTGGCGCAGCTGGGAGAGCCAAGACTTCCAACAAGCTCTGCGCAGGGCAGTGCCCACTGGCACCTCGGAGATGCCCAGCCTCTGGTCCTGAGCCAGGCTGTGGGTAAGCTAGTGCCCGAAGGGCCGCTGGGGTACAGTTTTCAGTTACTTCTAAGTGGTGGGGGATAAAAATAGTCAAAAGTCATAAAGTTGTTAGGAGTCCCCTAGGTGAAAGGTAGCATTATAAATCTAAAACACCCATAATTAAAATGAGAATACTAAACTTGAAGTCCATCGATTCCCATGTTCTTGCACTGCACCACAATTCGAATACATCAAATCCCTACCGATTCAGGTATTTTTAACTGGTTGAGAGCCATTTTGTTTGTGACCTTGTTGGACAAAGGGTACATTCTTTTCTTTGCTAGAAAAGATTGTTTGAACAGGTCAAACAGGTCTGAGAACTGGCTGGAGAATAAAAATATTGTAAGTGGGGGAGAGAGAGGAGAAAGGGAGGGAGCAAAGAAAAAAAAGAAGGAAGAGAAAGAAAGAAAAAAAGAGGGACGGAGGGAGAAAGAGAGGGAGGGAGAAAAAGAGGGAGGGAGGGAGGGAGGGAGGGAGGGAGGGAGGGAGGGAGGAAGGAAGGAAGGAAGGAAGGAAGGAAGGAAGGAAGGAAGGAAGGAAGGAAGGAAGGAAAAAGGAGGGAGGAAGGAAAAGCCCTGGCCGGTTTGGCTCAGCAGTTAGAGCATCGGCCCGCGGACCAGAGAGACCCGGGTTCAGTTCCTGCTAAGGTCACGTACCTCGGTTGCAGTTTTTCCCCGGCCCCGGTTGGGGTCCTGTGAGTGGCAACCACTCGATGTATCTCTCTCATGTCAATGTTTCTCTCTCTTCCTCCCTCTCTCCCTCCCGCTCTATCTGAGGATAAATGCAAAAATGTCCTCAGGTGAGGATAAAAAAGGAGAGAGGAGAAAGAAAGCCCGCCATGCCACAGAAAGGAAGCGTGTTAACAGTGGGCAGGGCAATAAAACGGGAAATTCACGTCCCTCTGTGTTAACACAAGTTGCGCACTGACACGCGCGCTCTATGAAAAGTACAGAAGTACACTTCTGCACGCATGTCCACACCTGTTGCTAGATCAGCTGGAGGAGGGGCACCTGTGGAGGAAGTTCAGATGCACAGGTATATAACTGCTCCCTCTTCACAGGCTACCTGGAAGCACCAGGGAGACCAACTAGACTCTGAGTTCAGGGGTCCATTCCACATCACTCCTAGAAACTAAGAACAGATCTGAAAACAACTTTGAATCTCCAAAATGGAGTCAGACTTTTCAGAATGATCTGATTACTCCTCCACTTCCCGCCCGCCACGGCGGCTCCCACCCGGAGGCTGCCCTGGACTGGGGACACAGCTGCCCCCCAGATGACCGCTCAGGCTGCCCGCGAGCTGTGAGCTCTGTGCCTCTCCCGTGGCCCACCAGCGCGGCTGAGCTCTCACAGAACCTACTCCTCTCCAAGGGGCTGTGGGGCTCTCGCCTCTGCAGCAACTTGGCCCGAGGAGAAGGCGTGCGGGTCCCCTGGGCAGAGCGCAGCACGGCAAGGGTCACAGGCAGAACGGCTGATCGAAGCTGGCCAGCCAGGCTGGTTACACGTTGGAGGTCCCCAGAAGTTAGAGGCGGTCCCTGATCCAATTCTAAGGGCTGGACCCGGCTGCCCAGGCTTAGGTACCCAATGTGTACACAGGGCTTATTTGAAAGCTAGTGGGATTCGCTTCCAGCCTTTGCACACCCAGTCTCTCCAGGCGAGGAATTCAAAACAAAAGGAAAGGCCAATTCGCAAGCCCCAGGGCTACAGTTTGAATGACTTACCTCAACTTCCACCCTCGTGAAGGGCTGGCAGAAGGTGAGCACACAGAGCTGAATGCTGAAGAGGAGAGAGAGGCCCTTTAGACGGTAACACAGGCATCGTCTAATAGTGCTCAGCTACCCCTCACACACGGCAAGCGCCCAGGTCCCACTTCATACAGATTCGGGGTGTCCCAACGCCACCCAGCAGCTATAACACTAATATTTCTGACATTCAAAAGTCCAATCACCACACATAAGGTCAGGTGGGATTCGTGAGTCAGAGCGGCAGCTCCGTACACTGAACCCCACATTTGAAGTCTCCTTGACAACTCAGACTCATAGGCCTGAGTCCCGGGAGAAACTAGCCAAGGCCATGTTTTCAGGTGCATAAATGTGTTTATAGGATAACTCCTGAGCAGAACATTACATTGTAACCTCTTTTGTGATGCCTAAGAAACAAAATCAGTTGGCCTTTCTTCAAAGCAGAAACCTGATCACAATCGTCTCAGTTACTAATACATGTTTTCATTGTGGGGAAATGTTCTGAAAAGTTTCAAATTTCATGGTAAAGCGAGACAAAGGCACAACCCTCTCAAAGATAATTTTTGAAATAGTTGTTCCAACTTGAAGCTTTCTGTATTGATTTAGCCTCTCAGGATAAGAGTTGCATGGGATTTTAATTTAGCCTCCTTTAGACAGATGATCCAGAAATCTAGCCAAGTGGATTAGACCACATGTTTGTGAAAACACCCAACGAACCTTTTGATTTTGCTATTAAGAAGCTAAAATATGATTTAACTGGAAAAAAATTACTTCAAAAGACTTAAGACAAAATGTTTAGGAATTTAAACAAGGAATTTAGTCAAAAAGGATATTTAGCAAATAGATCTACCAATTTCATAATTAATTATAAAATATATATATATCAGTTCTCAAACCTTCCATCTTAAAGGGAAAAAAAATCTTTCACTCTCAACCACAAGCCAACAGTCAATCCATGTTATCTGCCGTAAAGTAAATTGTTCTTTAATTATTTAAATTGAGCTTTGGAAGTCAGTGATTTGAAGAGATAATTCTGTTCTGAAAATTCTGAATGCTGTAGAAAAATCAATAAATAGAACCACACTAAGATCTCATTACACCTGTGTGGTCCCTGCTACACACAAACCCAGTGATTGTCACCTGTCCGTCAACAACGTTACTTGAAATCTGTGTCTAACAGTGTCAAACGGCACGGCTGGAAAAGCTCCTGGGTCAGATCTGAGTGTTTTACATGTTCTCCCCGAAATGTGAACGGGCTGTGCAGAGTGAGCCTCCACATGCCGGTTCTATTTAAAGGCCTGTTTCACGTGGGCTTGCGTAAGAGTGTGACTGTCTTCCCCCCTCTCCGAAGGGCTCTGAGAAACTGCTGAGCCCTGCGTGTTCCCATTCGCACGGAACTGCTGTCTTCTCTCAACTCCCATTTCAGACCCTCTGACTACATGGCTCGGGACTGCTTAAACCAATATACAGGAAAACAACAATGAAGACAGTAGATACTGCTGTGTCAGCAATGAAAATGAAACTGCAAAATTAAAGCTAGACATGATGCAAACCGGGTCACTGGAATGTTTCCAAGAGTTGGCAGACAAACATTTAAGACCCATTAGAACAAGACATGGCTAGAATCCCATACGCAGGAGAACTGGGGGTTGATGGGCAAGATAGTTATTCTCTCCATAGAGACTTATCAACTACAAGATTTAGGATCTGATTAGAAATCGCTACTTTCACAAAAACAAGTCTTTTTCCTTTAAAAATCTTTCTTTCTCTTCACTACAATAAAATGTATATAAATAATAGATATGAGCGACTTACAATGTATATCCTTGCCATGTCCAAGTCACAGTATCCTACAATAACAAGAGTATTTAGCCTGTTAGTTCAGAGAATACCAAATGAAACAAAAGCATTATTTTAATATTGGCATGCATGTACTTTCTATTAAAATTTTTTTCTTTATTGATTTTTTTTTAGAGAGAGAGGAAAGGAAAGGGAGAGGGAGATAGAAACATTGATGAGAGAGAACATTGATTGGCCACCTCTCCCATGCCCCCCACTGGGGATTGGGCTCACAACCTGGGCAGTGCCCTGACCGGGAATTGAACCGGCGACCTCTTGGTGCAGGGGTCAACGCTCAACCACTGAGCTACTCTGGCCAGGCATACTTTCTAAATTAAAACCATTATGTTGAAAAATAAAACAAGCACATTATTTTTGGTAAACAGCAGTGACCTGACCTATGCATTTTTGGATTATATATCTGCATAGCAAAGGTCTGTCTCTCTCATGTAACTGCCTATTTATGGAGCTAATTTGCTCTGAATGCTTAAACACTACCGTGCAGGCTTAGCTAGTTTCTCTGAATATGAACGTGTCTGGGTAACGACTTTGCTTACAAAACCCAAAACACATCAGTTTTCATAAAAGAGAGTGAGAGAGTAATTTGGGAGAAAAAATTAAAGTAGTGCAAAGTGAAGGAATTTGAATAAATGACAAATGCAAACCCGCAGTCAGAAATACAATGAGTAAAAGTTTGACAGACTTTCATTTTAACTACGGATGTCCTAGGAGACACCAGCCACTGAACAGAAAGTTGACTTGATCAAGAACTCTTTATCTTTAGTAACATAGGTAATTAATAATTACATCTTGCCTTTTATGGAAATACCCTAGTAAATAAAGTTCCTCCCAAAACCAAAACATCCTCCAGAAGCCTGTATTTAGGGACATGGTGACACACTCAATGTCCAGGAGACAACCGGTGCCTGGCTGGAGCAGAGGCAGGTATTTCCTGAGCCAACTGGGGACTTTCTGGGGAGTTTTAGGCTCTGTTCAAATATTGTCTTATGAAGCTACTTGCCGGGAGTCACACCGCCAGTGAGTGTGAGCCAGTAATTGGACACCAAGCCTACCCCAAATGTGTCCCGCCTCAGCAGCCCTTTCCACCAGCAGTGACCCGTGACTGGGAGTTTCCTTACAGGCTTAATGAAAATCACAAATGGATGCAAGATTGCTAATGAGACTCTGAATCTGAGACGTCACTGGGCCATCAGTGACAACGGAGCAGAAGCTAAGGAAGTGCCCTCATGTAGTTTAGTAGTAGCAAAACCAGAATGCAGTATTGGCATCAACAAACATGGGCCTCCCTTGCCAATGTTTAAAAACCAAATGTGGCCGTGGCTGGTCTGGCTCAGCAGCTAGCGTGTTGGCCTGCGGACCACAGCGTCCTGGGTTTGATTCCGGCCAAGAGCACAGACCTCGGTTGCGGTTCGTCCCCAGCCCCACCTGGGGTCATGCGGGTGGCAACCAATGTATGTGCCCCTCTCACATCAACGTTTCTCTCTCCCTCTCTCCCTCTTGCTCTATCTGAAGATAAGTGTAAAAATATCCTTGGGTGAGGATTAAATAAATAAATAAATAAATACCAAACGTGACAAGGAGAGTCCCCCCATCTGCTCCTGCCATTTATCTGTTCAGACCTTTATTCTACTATTAAAGGGTCCTCGGGAGTCGGTGCTGTTGGGATGTCTGCAAGTCTGCCGTGGTGAAATGCGGGCTTACCAGCTTGTTCGGGTACCGGAGCAGGACGGGCTGCACGGGCACCCCTGGGATGAAGGCTCCTGTAAGCGTGATGACATTTACCACAAGTGCTTTGTGTGAGTACAGGTTTGACAACAGAGAAACACTTAATAAGAAATGACACATAGATACTGCATGTTTTAAGAGTACACATAAGAAACTATTTGCTAAATGTTGGTCAATCTCTAATGTTTTGCAAAATGAGAGATTTTGAAAATTCAGAATTATTTAAGCAAAATATTAAATGTTATGCCCGTCACTTAAAATATTCACTTATTTACATCTCCATTTGTTTTCCTTTTCCAAGCACCTATTATTCAACAGAATTTTTTTAAAAAAAGTAATGACAAAAATTGAGACAGAGAAAATAAGAAAACTAGATGAAAGCAAATGCTCGAAGCAAGAACTACCACCGTTGACAGAAGTGAGTTCTGAGCATTCTGAGCATTCTGGCAGCCAATACAAAACATTTGAAAGTATTACCAACTCCTATACAATTACACATTTACTCTGAAACTCACGACTTGATGATATTAAAAAATGAAGTGAACCTTAGAAGGTATTATAATGATCACTGAAATAGGTTTCTACTTGATGACACAGGACCCCAGGTGCCTGTAATGGTATCCTTGGAGAGAAAAAAAAATCTGCAGTGATTCTGCTCAAACATACACACATGCACACAGACACACAGACACACACACAGAGACATGCATACAGACACACACACACAAACACACACAGACACGCACATACACACACACAGATACACACATGTGCGCACATACACATACAGACACTCACATACACACACACAGAGACATGCATACAGACATGCACACATACACACACGCGGACACATACACGCAGACACACATATACACATACAGACACGCACACACACACAAACACACAGAGACATGCATACAGACATGCATGCACAAGCACACACAGACACGCACATACACACAAACACACACAGAGACATGCACACACATACACACAAACACACACAGAAACACACATACATACACAGACACACACAGATACAGATACACAAACAGACACACACACACACATACACAGATACACATGCGCGCGCACACACACTCCAAGGGGTTATGATACCAAAAGAGAAAGTAAAGAAGTGCTTTCTGTGGCTTCATAATGTTAAGAACCTTGTATTGAAATGGAAGAAATGCTCAGAGCAAACCAATGAGTTATTTTGTGTATTGCTATCAAATCATTCGAGAAAGCTTCCATATTACTTTGTCACGATACATAATTTAATTGATCTCACCTGGTTTAAAAGTAATCAAACAGGAGCGATTAGTACAAGTACCTTCTGGGAAAACTAGTATCTTGGAAGAAAAGGAATAAATTTAATATTTCAGTCTAATTAATTGATTAGCTCATTATTCAATTTCTTAATACTTCACAGATAGCTGCCAATTCTTATGAAACAAAGATGAAATCAAAGGCTAACCCTTGATTCTAATGAAAGCTAGAATCAGACGATGGGGATTTGGTGGTCTAAAAGAGGTATAGTCTAATCATTGAGATAATTAGGAAATAGTTTAAAGGTTTGAATAGAGTATACACTTAGCAAATGTTTCTTGGTGACACTTAGGATCTGAATAGAGTAGCCCCAAGTCATGGTCAAGTGTCCATGTAGGCCATGCTACATTCTTTCTGCTGCTGCTGTGCATCTTCAACCAAGTCATTTCCTACTTTGTTTCAGTTCTCCCATTAATATCACCCTAACAACACGCATGGAGGGAGGAAGAAGAGCTAGCTGCTCACAATATGCTTTGTGCTTACTTGAATTAGCTGACATATGAAACACAATTTAATAACTTTTGAGGAAGTGTTTTTAGCTTCCTTACACTTTCCATGGGAAAGATATGCAGTACAGTCAGCTTCCCCTTCGCTGCTGAATAAAGTAGCAGCTTGATTTTCTGAAGCTATTAGAATTTAGCAATGAATAAATTGCCAAGTACACAAAACAAAATAGAAAATTCCTGCTCCCCCAGCAGCTAGTAATGTGTATTTTATAATAATTAGAGAAACATCATTAGGTTAAATTACCACCATAGAAGGTTATTTGTAAAATTAAAATTATGAATAGGTGCATTCCATCCTCCAATTTAAAAAGAAACTGGTTTCCTATGACAATGGGATCCAATATCAACCACGATTCATTCAGTGCACATTCTACAGCTACACTATTCACAATGAATCATGAAGTCCCAGGGCTAGAAGCGGCACTGAAAGTCATCTAGCATTTCTAATGCCTGAATTCTTTCTTTCCACAATGCCCCCCTCTCCCGCCCCCCTGCTCCCGCCACACACACACATACACACATATACACGCGCACGCACAAGTGGTCATTGAACCAATGCCTGAAAATTCCAGAAAAGGATTCCAAATCAGATGATAACTACCTCTGGACAGAAAGTTCCTCGAGATGAGTGAAATTAGCTGAAATCTACCTATGTGTTAACTTTCACCTACCAGTCCTAGATATATTTCTTGGCTCCAAAGAGAAAAATGGAACCTTTGTTCCAAATGCCCCCTCTTCCCAGTCACTCTTTAAACCATTCCTCACGTGCCCTGGTTTCTACAGCCTCCTGGTTGGTCCTACTCTTCTGGGTCCTCGAACATTCACTCATGCTCATCACGGCCAGGTCACTGCAGGACCAGTTGGTTCTGCTAGCGATCACCTGGGCAAAGGTAGAGGCATACTTATTCGTATCACCCCTGGGGCTTTCTTTATCCCATCAGTGCCCCCCCTCACCTTCCAAAGGCATCCATTCCAGTGGAAGGGGCTGAAGAGATGGTCAAGTTTGAAAAGATTCTACAGGTGATTCTGCTATTCCTCCCTGAACTGAAAAGCTCTATCTAAATATACTTCAGATGAGAGTCAAAATCTTGATTACTTTTTTAGTAAACCGACCGTGTTGTTGAGTATGACTAAGCACTGGCATCTCATCTTTTTTTTTTTAATCCTCACCTGAGGATATTTTTCCATTATCTCTAGACAGAGTAGGAGGGAGGGAGAGAAGGAGAGAGAGAGAGACAGAGAGAAATATCGATGTGAGAGAGACACATCGACCTGTTGCCTCCCGTGCGACCCCAACCAGGGCTGTGAACGAACTGCAACCGAGGTACGTGCCCTTGGTCAGAATCGAACCTGGGACTCTTTGGTCTGCAGGCCGACGCTCTAACCACCGAGCAAAACCGGCCAGGGCTGGCATCTCATCTTTTAAAAGGTAAACAGCCTTGGCCAGGTGGCACAGTTGGCTGGAGCACTATCCCAAAATTCAAAATATTTTGGGTTTGATTCCCGGACAGGGTACATACCTACGTTTTGGGTTCAATCCACAGTTAGGGCGCATATTGGAGGAAACTGATCGATGTCTCTCTCTCTCCCATCCTCTCTCTAAACATATCAGGTGAGGATTTTAAAAAAAGGGGTAAATAAATTCAGAGGTAGGGAATTACTTTTATTAACACAAAGTAAAATTGGTTCAAAGAGTTTAGAGGATAAAAACAGAAGGATGCATTTAATTCCATGGAGTATCTCATGGGGAAGAAGGTTTCTCAAGGCTCACTCATTCATTCTGCATCTGTTATGCTAAAGACAGCAAGCACAGGTGTCCCAAGATACTGCTATCTGTGGACCCAAGTGACTTTGTCTACAACTGTACAATAATACATTCTCAATATAGTCACGTCAATATCTACTCTGTTTTACCTGGGGCCATACCCCTCCGGAGGTTGCTCGCCTTATTATTTCATTTATTGTGTTTTTTCGGGAATCCGGGTCCACGCGGGATACCAACACCGGCTGCAAAGCCCGTAACAGTGCTTTAAAAACAAAAACATTCACAACCAAGTCACTTTTTTTTTTTTTTGCTAAAGCTACCAAAGTAAAAACACTGGGTAAAACATTAAACAATTTTATGAAAATTAAAATGACAGCAAATTAAAAAGAACAACTTTTAAAAAAAAAACCTCTAATTTAAAGTTTATTAGAACTTAGCTTCCAGTTTCAAAAGGAGACATGAGTATTTATACCTAAAAATATTTCACTGATTTAACAGAAATAAGCGGGAATATGAAAAGAAGCAAATGTACTTTGCTCTCTAAAGGTCTTCCTCAGCGGACATTAAGCCTTTGAAAGGTATTACAAGATGATCTGGTTTTATTTTAGGAACATCCTGAAAATTGATTATGAAAATTCATAGTACCCAGAGGAGTCAAAAGCACGTATTACTCATTTTACTAAAATTTTCAGCACAGCAGTCTTCCAAACCCGGAACTTTCTAGCACATGCAAAATAAATCTCAATTTACCAAAAATCTATTGCTAAGCAATTTTTCAGGAAAACGCTTGTTGCACAAAGCAGCGGGTTCACTGAAAAGAGTTTCTTAGCTGATGACAACACTGCAAGAATTTCTGCAGAGCACCAGAGCAGCACCAGGCCACCTCCGCGCTCACCCCCTCCCCCGAGGCCTGCAGCGGCCTCAGGACAACGTGGGGCCGGGGCGTTACTAGGAGACAACTACCCGAGGGAGAGACCCAGGCACCTGGTGGGAAAAACATTTCACTTGCTTCATTATGTTATACGGCAGGAGGTACTTATTGTTTCACATCATAATTTTCAAAGACTTACACATTCAAAGGTCCCTCATGGAGATTTAAGGGAAATGAAGAAAACAGGACAAAAAACTTAGTGTGTTCAGCAGCCTAATACCCCAAAGAGAAACTCATGAAATAGCATGCAACGGGTGTTTTCACAATTTCTTTGGGTAAATTCTCTCTCAAAAAAAAAAAATCAAGCATGTTTGGTATTTGAAAAAACTGGACTTTTATATATAAGTTCAGAAAGAGATGACGGCACAGTGCTAAAAATTAGATTTTAAAAGAATTAGAAGGATACAGATATAGGGAAGTCAAATCTTTTTTTCATAAAGTCATTCTCTTAATATAGAGCTCATTAAAAGAAAGGAAATAGGTTTGAAATATTTTATTTTAAAGTTTCTTAAAAGTCTACCAATAAACTAAATATGATGTTTTGTTTTTTGTTGTTTTTTTTTATCCTCACTTGAGGACATTTTTTCATTTTTTGTTCAGATAGAGTGGGAGGGAGAGAGAGAGAAACATCGATGTGAGAGAAACACATGGAGTGGTCGCCACCCACACGACCCGGGGACAAACTGCAACCCAGTACATGCCCTCAGCAGGAACCGAACCCAGGACTCTCTGCTCTGCGGGCCGATGCTCTAACCGCTGAGCCAAACTGGCCAGGGCTAAATATGACGTTTTTAAGGCATGAGCATGAAGATATTTTATCTATGTCACCTTACAGTACTCACTGCCGATCAGAGGCACCTGCACGTTCTCATTGCGAGAAACCATGGAGGGCAACCCCGCCACGACACAGGCGATCCCATCAAAGAAGGTCGAGTGAGGGGCAACGACAAAAATCGGTGCTTCCGCCGGGCTTGCAATCTTCCCTTTCACACGGACTGCAAACCCCATCGAGAAGAACATGGCACGACCCAGCAACTTCAAGACGGGTTGTGCAATTTTCCTTCGAATAGACATATAGAAAAGACAGAATCAGCTTGGCTCACTGAAGCTAATACTGGGCTCTACTGTAAAACACAGTGTGAAAACCAAAACATATCAGAACACTTCATTTTAAGAAGAATAACTAACACTTCCACGGAGCGCTTTCTGCCAGGCACAATTCTAAATACCCTACATATATTGATTTATTTTTTTAAATATTTTTTCTTTATTGATTTTTTTTAGAGAGAGAGCAAGGGAGAGGGAGAGAGAGATACAAATATCGATGAGAGAGAACATTAACTGGCCACCCCCTGCATGCCCCATACTGGGGATTGGGCCCACAACCTGGGCATGTGCCTTGACCGGGAGTCAAACCAGTGACCTCGTGGTACATGGGTTGATGCTCACACCAGCGAGACCATATACTGATTTCTTTAACCCTAAGCCCAATGTTATGAAATAGGTATCATTTATTAGTATCCCCACTTTACAGATGCAAACACTGAGGCGAAGAGGAGTCATTTTCCCTAAGGACAAATGGGTAATAAGTGGCTCCACTCTTCCCTGACTCTAAAATGAAAAGAGTTTCAACACACATCCCTCCAAGAAATTCAACAATATTGCCCTTCCCTTTCCAAGTAACCACCAAGAGAATCGACATTTGTGTCACAAAGATGCCTCTATCTCCCAAACACTTAGAATTCTCATGCTGAAACTGCACTCAGAGTTATTTTAGGAATAATCTTTTAAAAGTCAGCCTTCTAAGACATCATCAAGAATCTTAAGAATAGCCCTGGCTGGTTTGGCTCAGTGGTTTAAGCGTCATCACGCGGACCAATGAGTCACGGGTTCGATTCCGGTCAAGGACACGTACCTCGGTTGCGATTCATCCCTGGCCCTGGTTGGGGTCGTGTGGGAGGCAACCAGTAGATGTGTCCCTTTCACATCAATGTTTCTCTCTCTTTCTCTTTCTGATGCTTCCTCTCTCTCCCTCCCACTCTCTCTGAACAAAAATGGAAAAACGTCCTTGGGTGAGGATAAAAAAAAAAAAGGATCTTAATGAATCTTAAGAAAATTCACCATCTCCATTCGTTGGAACTGAGATGCACTTAAATAATTCCAGAAATCTAACTGCTGACTTTTTCAAAAGCATCTGTCATTAAATATTAATCAGTTCATCAAACTGTGCCAGGAACTGTGCTGAACACACAAGACACGTAGGTTCAGTCTCAGTCCTTGATCGGCTCAGATGAGCAGGGAAACAAACATACTCCTAAAAATGGAAACACAGGATGGACGTCTCAGTATGTAAACAAGCGTATAGCTTTCCATGAAAATAAAATACTATGTCTATCCTGCCATAAACAACTAATGAGAGCTTTAAAAAATGGACTTCCTATCTCATTTTCTCAACAGTCTTGTAATATCATAGTGAGGAACTATTAAGCAACTAGCTACTGAGGAAGTTGGTCTGACTTGTATTTCACAGTAAGGGGAAGTAAGACACAGAAAGCCAAAGTGCTTTTCCAGAGGGCTCAGAGAAATGACCGTCTCTCTTCTTTTTGCCCTTCGCTTAGAGTGAAGATCTCTATTTATGTAGGGATGAAAAGCTCACCCTTTCGTGGAGTTTACATACCTCCTATTTTCAAGTTACAGTGATGTAACTTCTGACAACTACCTTCCAAAGTATCCCATATTCAAAGTCTCTAAACATTTCTATTTCAAATGTTTTTAAAATGGCTAAAAGTTTAGTGTTGTGTAATAGCGCCAATGTTACCTGTCTGAGAGGAGGAAGAGATACTGGCTTCATTGACAAAAGCAGGACATTCTTTCCCAACACTTATTTGATCTGTTGTCTGGATTTTTAGACTGTTCCTTCCACTAACAATAGCAACCAAGGAAATAATTGAAAGGAATCCATGAGTGATGAAAAATATCACTTATAGTATGTTTTTAGTGACATACAACCTTGAGTTATAAAACAAAGAAGTATGGCCCGGTGTGGCTCAGTGGTTGAGCATCGTCCCAGGCACCAGGAGCTTGCTGGCTCCATTCCCGGTCAGGACACATGCCCGGGCTGTGGGTTCAATCCCCAGTAGGGGGTGTGCAGGAGGCAGCGAAATAATGATTTTTTCTCTCTCCCTTTACCTTCCTCTCTTTGAAATCAATTAAAAAATGAAAGAGCCCGGCTGGTGTGGTCCAGTGGTTGAGCATCGACCCATGCACCAAGAAGTTGCAGTTCAGTTCCTGGTACATGCCCAGGTTGTGGGCCAAACCCCCAGTGCGGGGCATGTAGGAGGCGGCCGATCGATGTTCTCTCTCATTGATGTTTTTATCTCTCTCTCCCTCCCCTGTCCTCTCTCTCTAAAATAAAGAAAGAAAAAAGTTAAAAATAATAATAATAATAATAATTTGATACAAAGAAGTATGATTTGCAAGGACTGAGGTGGTATTATTTCTCCTGGGGCATTGCCGGCCATAGATTTAGTTCCAGTTCAGACCAGCCTTGTGTTTCATATTGACATCTGTTCACTAGAACATGAATTGAACAGCAAATTGCATATTTCTTTAAAAGTCTCTAAAACAATGTTCTCAAAATTTTTGGAGGACATATTCTCATTTGAGGCTTAGATGAAAGAAATAGACCCTTGCATACAAAAAAAAAAAAAAAAAAGTGTGCACAATTTCAGAGTCTCGCAGTGCCCTAAAACCCACCTAGGTGTTTCTGTGAAATCCAAGGAGTCTGTGTGAAGGGCCTTCACCTTCAGGACATACATCTAGCAACAAGTGGGTTCTGCCCGATGGGAGTGGACTTTTACTAGTAGCTTTAGTCCATCATCACTCTATTCTCTATACCATGCTCATTACGTAATGCTTAAAAAGCAGTTCCAGTGGGCCTCAATGCTAATGTTTAATAAAGCTAAGCTATACTGATCAATAATTAAATTGTTAACAATAATCACTAAATTAATGAATTAATATACTATAATCGATCCACTTAATTATATCACTTAATAAAGTATCTTAATAAAGTATGGAGTTATTATAGAAGGACAAAAGCAAATGTGAGAAAAAAAGCCAGTTATTTTTCAACTGCAATGGTTTCCGGTATACCAACTGGGTATTTGAGAACCAGGGGTCTATCACTCTTTGGCAATAATACAGAAAATAAAGTATTTTAATATTAGGAAGTAACAATTTCAACAAAAGATTACCCGCTCTTGGGCAGTAATTTCTACATAATAAACTAAGAACAGTTTCAGCTGAGAAACAAAAATAAATAATTAAAATTGAGTAGACAGCAGTTAGATAAAACTATTGGTCACTAACTGAATGTCTTTATCATGATTTACTTAATATTTAGACATAACTGTTTTACCTCCTCCAACCAGTTATTGGATGGGTCAGCTTTTCAGGACAGCACATTGTTGAAATTGCAGCAAATGGCCACGCCAGTAACAAAACGAATGCAAGCAATAAGGCACGAACTGGAACCAGGATAATTCCGAGAAAAAAACTCTGAAAGTCAAAGTTGATAAAAACAAATGGCTGTATCATTTTTAAATGTCACCGGCAATGTATGAGAATTTCAGTCACTACACATCCTGGCCATTTGGTGTTGGTAGTCTCTCTAAAGTATCAACTTTATTAAGACATCATTTACATAAAAGAAGATGCACCTTTTTAAGTGTATAGAGTTTTGCAAATGTATATTGCTATGCAAACACCACCATGATCAAGATACAGAACATTCCCATCACCCTAAAACCCTCTCTTGTGCCTCTTTGCAGTCAATACACCCTCCCCAGCCCTTGTCAACCACTGAGACTTTCTTTCGCCATAGTTTTGCTTGTTCTAGATCGTCATATAAACAAAAGCACATAGTATATACTTTTATGTCTGGCTTCTTTCACTTCATATTTTTGAGATTCAACCATGCTGTCATATGTATTAGTAGTATAGTCTTTTTAATTGCAGAGTATGATTCCATTGAATGAATATATTACAATTCATTCATCTATTGATCTGTTCATGGACAGTTGGCCTTACTATGAGTTTTTAACTATGAACATTAATGTTCAAGTCCCTGCGTGAACATATATTTTCCTTTCATTGGGAGTGAAATTGTTGGGTCAGGGTATGCTTAGCTTTATAAGAACCTGCCAAACCTGTTTTCCAAAGTGGTTTACCATCTTATATCCCCACTAACAAAGTAGGGAAGTCCCTGTTCCCCACACCCTCACCAGCACTTGGAGGGGTCAGTCTTTGCAGCCATTCTAGCAGGTGAAAAAATGCTATCTCATGCTTCCTTGATAAATCAAGTGTGTGTTGATCATTCCTTTAACTTCTTATTTTAAGTATCTGTTCAAATCTTTGGCCCACTTTTATTGGGTTATTAGTCTTATTCATACCAATTTGAAGGAGTTTGCATGTTCTATATAAAAGTCCTTTGTCAACATATGTATTGAGAATATTTTCTCCCATTCCATGGTTTGCCTTTTCAATTTCTTAATTGTAATTTTGATGAAAACTAATTTAAAATTTTAATTTACTTTTATTTCATTTCTGTGACCTTTCTAAGAAATCTTTACCTACCTCCAGGTCATGAAGACATTTTTCTATTTTCCTCTTCTTCTAGAAGCTTTTATGTTTCAGTCTATGTCCATCTAAAATTACTTCCCTATGTGTGGTGTGCAATAGGGATCAAGGTTCATTTTATCCATAGATTTACCTAGTTGTTCCAATACCATTTGTCATACTTAAATGAAAGTACCTCCATCTTTTAACCTGGATAATAAAGCCAGCATTGTTTTTCAATTATGTTTGTTTAAATCTTCCCTTTACCTAGACCATTCAAGCCATTAAAACTTATTTTATAACTCTGATCTCTATGAATTTTTAATTAAAAAAAAAATACCCAGACTACATTTCATTCCATTCAATACAAGTAGTAAAATTTAAGTACTATGTTAAAAAATATATACAAAAATTACATAAGATAGCTATCAATATTAAGATCAGCACACAATATCATATTCTTTCACATATTACTTCACCTAATTTTAACCCTCCTTTGATGTATTATTATTCCAATGGAGTAGATGAGGAAAGTGAAGTTAGAAGGGTTGTGACTTGGTCCAAGTCTTACAACTAACAGATGGCAGGCACTGAGATGTGTTAAGACGAAGACTAGTGATCTTTCCCTTGCTCTGGAGCTCTTGTAGAGTTATTTGGGAGTGCTTCCTACACAGCAACAGGCCATGCTATTAAAAATAATAATTCACTCTAGGTGCAATATAAATACTTATAATATGCCACTTTGACCTGCTTTCAAAAATATGAAGCCAAATAGATGGACATAGTTTCATTAAATATGACTGAATATTAAATATGACTAAATATGATTGGACTAAAATTAGTCTTAAATGATAGTCATTGTACTCAGAAGTGTTTCTAAAAGTTTAAGATACAAAGGGAACATCTACCCATTTACAGACATGAAGATCAAAGTTTTAAACATTTTGTTTCTTTGCAAAGAAGTATTACTCCATTATCTTCCTGTTCCTCTCCCACACCCTTCTTCAACCAGACACCCATCATCATTACTCTAACCACCACCCATGCTGCTGAGCCCAGAACTTCACCTGCCTCCAGTGTACACGACAGTGGTCTCAGTGCATACAAGTAGGCTGTGCATAAGTCACACTATTTAACATCCAAAGTAAAGAAACTTGTGATATGGACAAGAAAACATCAAAACCATTTTTTTTTTTTTCATACAGCCCACACAAGACAAACACAGTCTGCAAAGTCTATCTTGTTCTTTGATCACTGACTTCACCAAAGAGGAAGTCCAAAGAGTGAGTGTAACACTTAATGGTAAAAGCAGCGCTTTATAAGAAAAGGGAATGGAAAGGAAACTTCCTTTTCATATGTAGCCATTTTTAACAGCAGAAGAAAGTCTGGGCTACTTCTCATCCTTGAATCTAGGAGAAGTGTTTGGGTGAAGACAGGCTCAGGACCAAAAGCTCTGTAACGCCTGACCCTCGTTATCCCTTTTCCTAGACTCCGACTTCCTACCCTTGATGCCTCTGCTTAGCTGGATCAGCTCAGCCCTCCTCATTGTTCTAACTCCAGACCTGGGCTCTCTGCATTCTCACTCCCTCTTCCCATCCCAGACTCACTGCTCTACTTCCCTAAGACAAAAATGAATAAATAAAAACGAAAATAAAAAATACTTCCCCAAACCCACTCTCCTATGGTAGGCTGGCCTCCGCTACATTCTCACAAACTCAAATTGAAGTTCTCACAGATGAATTCCCCTTTCTCGGCACGGAATGAATGTTTCCTCTGCCACTGTCCTCCTGGTTAGGACCTTCGGCTCAGACCAACATGTTCTCTGCATCTCCTCTCCTCACACACCCCCTTCAGATCACCCTCCATGTGCCCTCCGTCCTCAGAACCACATCTCTGCCCCTTGCAGACTCGTGGTCCCTGCATAAGCCCTCTCCTCAGATCTACAGCTCTTTTCCTCAGAGCCTTTGCTTCTCAGACTCAGGCCCACCTCAATGCCTCTACTGTCACACCTATGTCAACCTCAGAACATCTCATCTCTCAGGTCCACGCCCCTACTGAGGCTCTGCCTCCTCTCTCTGGCCCATGACATCCCCCTACCCTGGATCCTCCTCTTCTGTCAGACCTACACCGCTCCCCTGATGCACCTTCTCTCTGATCCACGCCCCTCACCTGGATCCACCTCCTTTCAGACCCACGCCCCTCCCCTGATGCACCTTCTCTGTGACCCATGCCCCTCCCCTGATGCACCTTCTCTGTGACCCACGCCCCTCCCCTGATGCACCTTCTCTGTGACCCACGCCCCTCCCCTGATGCACCTTCTCTCTGACCCACGCCCCTCCCCTGATGCACCTTCTCTCTGACCCACGCCCCTCCCCTGATGCACCTTCTCTGTGACCCACGCCCCTCATCTGGATCCACCTCCTTTCAGACCCACGCCCCTCCCCTGATGCACCTTCTCTGTGACCCACGCCCCTCACCTGGATCCACCTCCTTTCAGACCCACGCCCCTCCCCCATGCACCTTCTCTGTGACCCATGCCCCTCCCCTGATGCACCTTCTCTCTGACCCACGCCCCTCCCGATGCACCTTCTCTCTGACCCACGCCCCTCACCTGGATCCACCTCCTTTCAGACCCACGCCCCTCCCCTGATGCACCTTCTCTGTGACCCACGCCCCTCACCTGGATCCACCTCCTTTCAGACCCACGCCCCTCCCCTGATGCACCTTCACTCTGACCCACGCCCCTCACCTGGATCCACCTCCTTTCAGACCCACGCCCCTCCCCTCATGCACCTTCACTCTGACCCACGCCCCTCACCTGGATGCGCCTCGCTGCGCCCATCCGCGTCTGCTGCACGAAGGGGTTGGGCACGGGCGGTGGGAAGAAGGACGCTTGACGGGGCACCATCGGTGGCCGCAGCCCCGCGTTCCCGACGCCCGCGCCCGGCACCGTGGCCGCCACGGCCGCCGCCTCGGCGCACCGGCTCATAGCGGAGCCGGACCTCGGACCCGACAAAGAGACTCACGCGGGACGCGGGAGTCAGCGTCGCCGCCGAGGCTGAGTCGGAGGCGCGCAGAGCCCAGCTTGAGGCTCGGAGCTGCCGGGCCTCTGCGCAGGCGCTGAAGTTACCTAACGCCGTCCGGTCTCGCCCCGCCCCTCTGGCTCAGAACGCGCCCGGGCACTGGCCCCACCCCCTGAGCACCAGCCCTACCCACTTAGGTGTCTGGCCCTTCCTCTCGGTGATACAGCTGTGCCCTTGGAAGTGTGTGCTTCCCCTTAGCAATGCACCCCAGTGAGAGAGTTCAGGCAGAGTTCTCTGCTTCAGGTCATGCAGACCTGACTTCCAATCGCTTTTACTGGCTCTGTGATGCTGGCCAAATCACTACGCCCGTGACCCTGTTGCCTCCCTCTATAAAATGAGAATCAACAGGACTCAGATAAACAGAACCTAAATCCAGCAATTGGAGGGGCGACCCTGGGCTGTTTCGTTAAGTGAGGTAATATATCCAGGGTGAGTTTTATGTGTTGGATTTCTGGTGTACGTTTTGCTTTCATTTAAACCTGTCTGCATTGGAATCAGAACAGAGAGAATCTTGACTGATATAGAAATTGGTAACAGGAGCGAATCTGTTCCACTGAAAACAGGGACTGACAGTGGGGAATACTGAGCTACTATTATTGGAAGAAGGAAAAACAACGATGGCCTCCATACTAGATGAGGAACCTGGCCCACAGGGGAAATGACTTGGCCTGTAGCTCCATTTCACCCTGAGGAAGTTCAAGGGCCTGTCTGGACTGAAATGGGTGGTCAGAGGGAGGGAGAGGTTTACCCAAAACCTGAGACCAGTTGGTCAAGCCCTGAGTGGCTGAGTCAGATGAAGGTGGTGAATGTTTTATCCTTCCTGATCAACGGCTCACAGCAGACTGTGAGCGTGATGAGAACCTGAGTCCGGGTCCTGGGGTAGCTGCTCCTGCAAACTTGCCACTGGAGGTCCCAGAATCTTTCAACTCTACCAGATAGCTGTGTGTGGCCTTCAGCTACTCGCTTACACTGAGCTTGTATTCTCGTGTAGGGGTGGAAAAAAGATAAATTTCTACCTCATAGGGTTGTAGTGACAATTAAATAAAATAATGCATGTGTAGTGTTCATGAAATGGCACATTTTAGGTGTTATGTTGTGGAGCAGCTGAATTTTCTGTGTAACAGAAAACCTTAATGACAGTATTACAGTCAATATATAAGCTTCCCAGGGGTCTTTATGCAGGGACTGGTAGACCCTTGTGGCTCTCTAGCCAGATACCTGCACAGAAGGCTATCTTCAGGACCCTCAAGGACCTGAGCCACTGGGCAGGCCACAGGAGAAAATATTACTCTATGCCCACCAGTGTCACCTCCAGAATCCTGTCCATTCAGCCCCACCATGAAAGGCCTGAAGCAACAGACTATCAGAGCCAGAAGGGGCCTCTGAGACACTGTCAGGCCTTAAATTACTATTTTGCAGCAGTTCCAGAATTTCTGTAGAGGGGATTAGGGCTGGCAATTTGATGAGGAGTAAGGAGCTTACCCGTAAAGAAAACCTGCGATTAGAGAGCAAGCCGGCATTTCTCCCTAGCTGTTTATTTAGAGAGGCTTGGGAAGGGGGAAGGGGGTGCTGCTACTGGAGGTTCCGGACTGAGGGCTAAAACTCCTCCTTTAGGTCATCTTTGGCTTTGACTTGGGTTGTTACCTAAAAGCCATGGTATCCTGGGCAAAACACTTTTCTCTGGGCCTCAGTTTCTTCATCAATAAAAATTGGGCTAATTATAGCCACACCCTCTTAGGTTGTAAAGGTTCAGTGAAGTGATGCATATAGAGTGCTTGGAACACAGTAGGCCCTCTAGTCACGGTGGGGATGTTGTTCATTAGCGTTAGAATTGGGATTATTGTTAATGAAGAAACAGACTCAGAGGAAGGGAACCCTGCAGTTAGTCACAGGACCAGTCACTGCTGCTTCAGGTACCTTTCCACAGGCAGAGGGACTCCAGCTCACACTGAGCATCTCTCAAAGAGCACCTGCACCCTTCCGGGAGCAGAGGTTTGGACTTTGTAAGCTTCCCCTTCTGTCTGGGGCGGGGCCCCTTTAGGTGCTGTAAAAACAGAGGCAAACACTGCCACTCAATTAGTGTCTTTATTCATACTTGTTGACATTTCCCATGGGGAATTGTTGAAGGGCGAGGAGGGGAGGGCTGAGCAGGGAGCCAAGGCCTGGTTTTCCTCCATCCAGTGGAGAAAGTAACGGGGCAGATTCGGACTAAACAGAGCGGGCTGAGATGCTCCATGCAGTGACTTCAGACGGCCTGAGTCCTTCTGTTAGGAAATTCAATTTCAAAGTGGAAAAATAAAAAATGATCACAAGAAAATGCCAAAGTGCATGTAAAGCCAACCACGAATGTGGGCAAGGCTCTAAGGCAGCCAGCAGTGAGAAGCCAGGTGTCTGGGTGGCCTCCTGGCCACACCTGTCTTCCACTGCCCTGGGCCAGGCCAGGCTGTAGGGCCACCAGTGCCCTCTTGAGACAGTCTCTGTTGGCTCCGAGGGCGCTACAAGCCACAGAAGGTTGTGGAGGGAGAAGAGCCTGAAGTGTGGCAGCACCAGGGCAGCCCACGGCAGGGCCGCATTGAGGACATGAAAGCATCTCTTTGGGGTGGCTCTGGAAGGCTGGAGGGATATGGAGGGGTAAGAAGCACCTGGGAGGGGTACAGTCAGCACCTTTCCTTGGGCACCGGGCACAGCCACTCTCTGGAATCTTAAATTACCAGGTGGCGGTGAGAATGCTGATTAACCACAGAGCTGAAGCCTGCCAGGCCCTTCCGGGTCCGTCCTGGTGCTCGGGCCCGTCCTGGTGCTCGGGCCCGACGTGAAGAAAGTCATGGAGCCCAGGGCCCGTGGGAGCTGCGGCCAGCTCAGCAGCCCAGCCAGTCGGATTTGATGCTTCCAAACTTCACGTTCTTCAGACTTTGGTTTTCCAACTTTAGGTAATAATTGCCCTTGAAGAAGTAGCTGTGACCTGGACGAGAGAGAAGAGAGGCTGTGAGCACCCTCAGACAGTCTGGCATGCGGAAGGTTCCTGGGAGCTCAGAAAGCCTGCCTGCCACAGGGGAGAAGCTTGGAGACCAGACAGGACCCCGCTGGGCTGGAGAAAGGGAAACGGCTGTGGAAGTTCAGTCTCTGAGTGCCTGGGTCTCAGTCCCTCTTTTCATTTCAAGATGGAGATAAAGGTACCAACCTCTTAGGGCCTGTGGTGAGGATGGATTTAGACAGTTATGCTACTATTAATATAAACAGTACTCCGTTGAGCACAATCACCAAACTAAGGGCTTTCCATATACCAGAGGTGACCAACCAGGAGGCTGCTCACCCCATTGCCCCACAGACAGGTTTTACTTGGCTCACAGAAGTTTTTGTTTTGTTTTGAATTCTGAATAAGTTGCCACCATGTAAACATCTAAAAATTTCACAAGAAAATACAGACTTATTTGCTTCCTCTTAAAAGAGTTGGAATATGCAGCCACCTGGACCCTGTTCTTTAGGGCAGCGATCATCAAAGGCAGAGAAGCAACTGTCCTCTGTAAATAAGCCGTGTGCTCTCTGGTTCACCACAGACCCCACCACTCCCTACTATCCGCCTTGCCTACTTCATTTATTTGTGCTACTGGCCTGGGCCCCTCTGGGCTTTGGAATTTGTGACTCCTGACATACTCTCATTTACTTCCTTTAAAACCCTGGCACATTGTAGGTGCTCAATATTTGTTTATTCCTGAAGATAATCCTTAACCTAGTACCTGATTGGACACTGCTTTTCACTGGACAGGTAGACCTTTAGCCACTGGAGGTCAGGGCCATGTGTTTAGCCAGCATATGATAGGGGCTCAAAAAAAAATCTTTGTGGAATTTAATTAAAATCATCTCTAAAAAAGCCAAACTGGACCACTTCCAGGGCCCTAGAGAGCTCACAGAAGCCTCCCCAGAAATATGATTTTCAAACTCCAAATTCTACCCCTGGATGATACAGGTTGTTTTATTCATCAAGGGACCAGGGGTGAAGCAAGTGGAACCTGGATCTCTGCCACATCAGCAAGAGGCCATGACAAAGTTGGTCCTATCACACATGGAGCCATCCTTCTGCTAACAGGAGGTGGGGACAAGGCCTCCTGTGGAACCCAGAAGGGCCTGGATCAAGCCTTAGAATGAATCCAGGGCACAGAGCCCATATCCCCTCCTCCCCCTCCAGGCCTCTCACCCCCCCTTCTCTGGCTCCAGGCCCTGCAGCTGTGAGGGGCCTTTCTAGGTCTTACTGCCTGGAGCCTGCTGAGTGAGCAGAGGTCAGGGGTCTGGATGCCTTCCCAGCACTGGGCTGAAGGGGCTGGTTTGTTCTCCCGAGCACCGCTAGCCTCCCTGCACAATAAGGGAGTGTGTGCTCGTGGGACCCAGGCCCTGGCTGGGGGCGGGGAGTCCTAGAAAGCCGAGAGGCCCGGGCAGCTCACCACCACCCTGCAGGTCCACCACAGCGTCCAGGTTATCAGGCACAGCGTTCCAGGCTTCTTCGATGAGCTTGGGGAAGCCGGGATCCATTTTCTTCTTCACCTCATTGTACCTGCAAAGCACCGGACATAGTGAGCCAGTGGGTCCTCCCTAAAGGCCACCCCTCCCTGGACCTGGATGGGAGGGCCCAGCTGATGGCTCCTGGGTGGGCCTGGGAAACCAGACCTAGCCTTTCTGGGAGGCTGCTGGCTGGAAAAGAAAGACATGTGGTCAGAAAGGGTCTCCATCCCAACTCCATCACTCACTCACTATGTGACCTGCACAGTCCTATAAAAACAACCTTGTGATTCCTGCTAACATTGAAGCAGTGTGTTAACCACTTTTCACTTTGTTTCTCAGTCAGTCCTTATGACAGTCTTATGACACAGTTATTACCGCAATACCCATTTCACAGACCAGAGGCTTCAAACGATGCCCAGCTTCT